ATGCATAGATAATTTTTTGTAGATAAAGATGGAAGAATTGTTGGTTTACTACATACATCATTTGAATGACATGTATTATCATCATGTTCTTCTATTGAATCACCTAATAGAACTTGATTTTTAATTGAAAATAAATCATTTGGATCATTTTCTCGACTTATCATGCAAATACGATCAACTGTAAATGTAATTGTTTTCCATTTTGCTTTCATTTCAATAAAAATATCTGATATTCTCGATGTTGTTGTTTGACCAAGTGTAAGATGAGCTTCAAATGGACGATCCTTGAGAAGATAGTTTGGTAAAACTTTTTCTATTTTTTTATAAAGTTCAATAACATCTTCAGTTTGTTTAGGTCGTAAATGAAATGTACATTCACCACGTTTTTGTGTAAAATACTGAAATGATGATTGATCAAATTCAATTTCAAATGGTTCTTCTGAATTTAAAATTGAATCTAATTTAATTTTCATATTGGCAAATTCAGATTCAGGTATAAATGGATATATAAGATTAATATGTGGCATCCATCGTGGATATGCTTTATCATGTATTGATCGAATTGATTGAATTTGATCCCAAACATTTTCAGGTGGAATTAAACAAAGCGCTGTTTTAACTGTTATTCCACGAGACATGATATTTTTTATTATGACTATTTTTCTATGATATAGAAAGAGGAATGAATAAATTTTCTTTATATAAAGCACATGGTATAGTAATTGCATCAGTATGACGACAAAACATGTTTATTTAAGATTACATCGATATGATGAAATTGGTTTATTATTACTCAATAAAAACAATTTATTTAGACAAAATATTTAATTTAATTCAACTGAAAATGTATATTATTTAATATTGCAAGATTCGATACAATCATGACTCATTCTCGTGTTTGATAAGTCAACAATATAGTAAAAATCTTTTATTGGTTCGTGAAATACGATCTGAAGAGAATGTTGAGCGATGTGCTATCATAGATCTTAATGAAACCAGCCTATAAAATTAATTTATTCCTCTCCGAATATTCACATTTAAATCCCATTTTAAGCTTGCGAATGTTTACTTGTATACATTTTACTATACAATTCAATTTATATATCCTTGAACTTGAATACAGTTTGAATTTCTTCAACATATTCAATTACTAGTTAACAATTGATGTTTATTTCAAGCTTTTGCTTTTAACAAAAAGAATGAGAACGAGGAGAAGAAAAAAAGAAGTACTTATATTTTTTTTACTTCTTTGCGTTT